CGACGTCCTGGCCGCCGCTGACCCCCAGCCACTGCCTCGCTTGAGGTGTCTTTCAGGGTTTTGGGGTCCGTCAGGTGGCTAAGCATTGAAATTGGGCGACGCGTGTGCCGAGGTTCTGGAAAGCGTGCCGCCGCATCTGGTCCGAGGTGCTCAGAGGTTGTGGTCATGGTGAGTTGGCATAGACTTTGTCATCGGTGGGAGCGGAAGTAGACGCATTCAATCAAGAGTCAGCAAACCGCTTTCAACGTTCAACATTCGCGCATTCAGACGGCAGCATCTGGATAGTGACCCTCGGGCCTCAGGAAGCTTGTAGGTGTTTGCTGAATGTGGCTTCTGTGTTTGTTCAATGGTTCAATGTGGCTTTTCTAGGGTACCCCAGAGAGGCGATATGAAACCTAATTTCTTTACTTCCGTGCAACTCCGATGGTTACCGAACTCCTAAACCGCTTGACCCCAACCCTACACCCTACACTCTAAACTTTACACCCTACAGTCCTAGCCCACAGTCTTGGGCTTTCTGTATCGCCGAGAATCATTCTGCCAGAGCAGGATTGCTCAACGTGCCCAACCTCAACCCCGGCGCCAAAACCGAAGAAGAAGTCTGCGACTGCTGGCGCAGGGGCAGTTGGGGGTTTGAGGCGGGTTCAGGATGCAGGGTTTAGGGTTTAGGGTTTCGGAATTTTGGGGGCGTTGAAGCTTGGAGATTGGGACAGTACAGCGTTTTCGACACCTGGAGGGCCTGAAGTGCTGCACTGTCCCAATCTTTTTGAGACAGAGAGGCAAAAACACCGTACTGTCCGAAAAAACTCAAAAGAACCAATCTTTTCAGGGTCTCCAGCTCAAAGATTGGGACAGTACAGCGTTTTTGCATGCCTGGACACAAAAACATTTTGAAAGTACAGCCTAAATTATTGGGACAGTACAGCACTTCAGGCCCTCCAGGTGTCGACAACGCTGTGCTGTCCCAATGTTTTTGGGTCCAGGCATGCAAAAATGCTGTACTGTCCCAATGTCTTTTCAGGGTCTCCAGGTCAAAGATTGGGACAGTACGGTGTTTTTGCCTCTCTGTCTCAAAAAGATTGGGACAGTACAGCACTGCAGGCCTTCGAGGTGTCGAAAACGCTGTACTGTCCCAATGTTTTTGGGTCCAGTCATGCAAAAACGCTGCACTGTCCCAATCTTTGAGCTGGAGACCCTGAAAAGATTGGCTTTTTTGAGTTTTTTTGGGACAGTACGGTGTTTTTAATTTTGCTTCACTGTCCGAAAAAGATTGGGACAGTACAGCACTTCAGGCCTTGTAGGTGCAGAAAACGCTGTACTGTCCCAATGTTTTTGGGTCCAGGCATGCAAAAACACTGTACTGTCCCAAAAAACTCAAAAAAACCAATCTTTTCAGGGTCTCCAGGTCAAAGATTGGGACAGTACGGTGTTTTTGCCTCTCTGTCTCAAAAAGATTGGGACAGTACAGCGTTTTCTGCACCTGGAGGGCCTGAAGTGCTGTACTGTCCCAATCTTTTTGAGACAGAGAGGCAAAGACACCGTACTGTCCCAATCCTTGACCTGGAGACCCTGAGAAGATTGTTTTTTTTTCAGTTTTTTGGGACAGCACAGCGTTTTTGCATGCCTGGACCCAAAAACATTGGGACTGTACAGCGTTTTCGACACCTGGAGGGGCTGAAGTGCTGCACTGTCCCAATCTTTCAGGCTCAGAAAAGCAAAAACCCTGTACTGTCCCAATCTTTGAGCTCTTTTTTTTGATTTTTTTTGGACAGTACAGCGTTTTTGCTTCTCTGAGCCTAAAAGATTGGGACAGTACAGCGTTTTTGCATGCCTGGACCCAAAAACATTGGGACAGTACAGCGTTTTCTGCACCTGGAGAGCTTGAAGTGCTGTGCTGTCCCAAACTTTTTGGGACACAGATGCAAAAACGCTGTACTGTCCCAATCTTTGAGCTGGAGACCCTGAAAAGATTGGTTTTTTTGGTTTTTTGGGACAGTACAGCGTTTTTACTCGTCTGAGACTAAAAGATTGGGACAGTACAGCGTTTTTGCGGTTTCTATTTGGCCTGGGAGACCCTTAAACCCTAAACCCCTCAACCCTCCGGTGTAGCCAGGGCACCTGAGGCAGGCAAAACTATAGCAAAAGTGTGGGCCTATGGGGGGGGGGGGGTATATATATATATAATATAGTATATTTGTGTGTGTGTGTGTGTGTGTGCGAGTTTGTGTGTTTGTGTGCTTTTGGTGGCCCAACATCTCCAGCTGAGGCGTTGTAGCTTCATGGAGTTTGCCATCCAGCTTACGTTTCCTGCACCTTCACGACAGACAGGCCGCTTGCTGCTAGATGTTGCCAAGACCCCAGCGCATCATGTTCCCCCATGCCTTTGCATGAGAGGCTGCATTGGGTCCGCAGCAGCCCAAGAGACTTCTGAAAGTCGATTATTCTTATTGTTACTATTATGATTGTTATTAATATTATTATTTTCACTATTTTCACGATTATTATTATTAGTACTTGCGCCCACTTGCCGTTCAACTTCGAGGTCCTCAACTTTGCGGAGGCATCGGCGGTCAAAGACGGCATCGTTTGCCACATACTCACCTGCCTCACTCTTACACGAGACAAGCTGCGCATGCCCTGACACTTTCTACCTTGTTACCCAGCAACGCGTGAGTAAGTTTAAATCAGCCCAATCTAGGCCGGGCCTGGCGAGGAGTGGACGCCTGAGCAGGTGGGAGCCCCAGATACCGTACTACTGTTTGGGCTCCCACTTAACGCAGGCGCATATCGGTCGTCAAAGAAGCAGGGCAATTCACGCTTGAATGTGGCAATGAGACATTTTTTTGGAGAGTGGGGGATTGCTCGTCGCGTGTTTAAGAATAGAATAGGATTCATGCAAGAAATCGAAGATAACAGTATTCAAAGGTTGATTATCTGTTTGTGAGCATCTGCACCCCAATAGATTTATCCATGTTACGGGGGAGAGGTATCACAAATTTGGCCTGGACACAGGCTCAAAGTATGCCCTGGGAAATCTGCAAATGGACATGCTTCTTCGAATAATTGCGTCACTTTTTGGAGGAGTGGCATGGCAGTGGAGCAGTAGGGGAGTGAGATGGACGTACCGAATCCTTCCACTGCGCTGCGTGCGAGTGCGAGACTCAAACTAGTGTATGTTTGAAGTGCAACTATGATGTACAACATAACGTCACGAAGATACATATAAGCACTTGCACGCAAAATTTTTGTTTGACACAGACATGAAAAACACACACTCAACACCTGTAAAGAAACACAGTAGAAAACGAGGGGAAACTGTCCCAATAGCTGTCCTTCAATAAATAACTCTTAGCTTTCTCGCGCGCAACGTGGTTTTCGCTTCGCCAAGGACGGATTTTGGCACAGCCGCGGCAATGAAAGATACCATAGTGTGTGTCGAGAGTACCGGGGGGAAGTAGTCAGAATAAACTAAACATCGAGTGTGCCGCGCGAGCTGGACTGTCCCAGTAGCTGATCTTCATTTGCCCGAGGCGCAGCCCGCACACCAAGAAGTTAAACAAATGACAAAAACCATGACAGAAAAACAATTTCCCAGGACTCTTGCCATGTAGGAGCTGTGATTGGAGAGTCCCAGGTTTTGCTTGGGTTTTGTTTTTGTTTTTGGTCTTGTGTTTTTGCACAACAAGAAGCACAAATTTCCCAGGACTACTTGCCATATGGGCACTCTGGAAAGTCCAAAATTGTGGGAGGAAAAAAGGCAGAAAAGCCTGTCCCGCGTTTGTTGTTTTAGCGCGTTGAATCAGCTCATTAAACACTATTTAAAAGAAGTTCATGTCAATCGCATGCCTGACGTGAACACACGGAGAAAATGGGATTCGGCCAGTTGGATGTATGTGTTTTTTTCTGTGGCTTGGCTACAGATGACGTGCGAGTCGAACAGCCGAACAGGAGCAAGCAGCCATGGAGGAGGTTCTTGGCAGAGTGGCCGAGCTGCACTTTGCAATGTCCCAAGTGGCAGACGTGCCACCTTGCAGAGTTTCACGAAGCAGGTACCACCTTCGAGCCAGGAAACATCCTCACTAGCAGCAGAGCAGCTGCCTCAGCCGATGCTTTTGGAGTGAGCGCCTGTCGATAGCATAAAGAATCAGGACGCGACTTCTGCGAGTGCAGACACAGGAGCTTGTGAAGGCAGGGAAGCATGTAGAAGCGCAATATAGCACAGAGGAAGACGAAGGAGAAGAAGGCACTGTTCAACAGTGTTGAAGCGCAGCGCAACTCACAGCTCTTCAGGAGCTTTGCCGTTGTTGAAAGATCCCGTTCCCATCAAAACTCGTCCCTGTACTGCCCCAGGCAACAGCTACAGAACTTCCGTAGTTAGTTGTAAACCAGTCCAATTCCAAGAATGGTGCGCATGGCCAGGTTCTCGCAGCATGTCTTGGACGTATCGAGTAGTAGCTAGGTTGGGAAATGCCGACGTAGGTTCCAAGACAGTTGCGCGAACGCTGGACATGCATCCTTGTATGAACATGGAACGATGAGTTTCTGTTGCTGCTTTGCAAGGGCTCACCCGTAGAAAGTTCAGTGCGTATCCGGTCAGCCCTGTTGACCTATGTTCAGCCGTGCACAGCCGAACACCCAGAACGGCAGCGCAGGAAATCCGCATGCTCCGTGAGCTCATTCCTGAGGACATCATCAAAGATCCGTGACTGTGGTTAGTACGAAGGTAGATCGAAAAATCTTACGGGCATGACCAGGTCCCTCCAGCAGAGGAAAGCAGCGCAAGCTGGGAGCGCACAGCAGAAGCCTGAGCCGCAAGGTGTTGATGGTTCTTGCTTCATGGCTCAGCCTCTGAAACCTTTGGCAAGATGCATCCGCTTGCTTGCTAGCTGCTAGCTACAGTAGTTTGTGGCACTAGGCAACAAGACTAAGAAGACACCATGGGACGCAGTGCTGGTGTGACATGGCTCGTACAACTGGGACAGATGCTGACATGTACGCAGATAAAATGAGAGACTGCCCCCAATTAGCAATGCTGCTGCGGCCTGGGTTAAGTCTCTGGCTTCTCACGCTGGCTAGCTCTGCACTCGTTGCGTGCTCGTGGCAGCCAGATGGTGCAGCAGCTCGGTTTGAACGGTGTGCTCCTCCGGTTCTTCACAATGCTTCACAATGTTTCAACGTACGCCGAGGATCCATATCAGATCCTGGATCTTCCCCGGGGTCAGCTCACAGGATGCTTGGCTGACCTCTCGGCTGGCCGGCTGGCCTTTGACTTTTTGTATGTTGCCAGCGCGACTTCCTTATAGGCACAGTAAGTTGCGGACCTGAGGAGCTGCCTTGAAGCAGGCCTACCGCAAAGCTGCCTTGAAATGGCATCCGGACAAAGTTCCACAATCCGAAAAGGAGGCAGCGGCTGCCACGCAAGCTGCGCACAACTTCGGGTTTGGCACATGATGCATGATGGTACTTGATGGTACTTGATGGTACTTGATGGTACATGATGGTACATGATGGTACATGATGGTACATGATGGTACATGATGGTAGAAGACTGAAAAGCACTCGCCATGCTTTTGAAAGGCAGCCGAGCAGCGGTTCATTCAGATCGCTTGGGCTTACGAAGTCCTCAGTGACCCTGTACGACGCCGTGACTTTGACACCCCGCCGAAGCCTGGCCAGCCAAGCATCCAAGATGCAACAGAAATCAACAGAAAGTGATAGTGGGCCCTTGGTTCGCGATGCTGTCAACTCAAGCGACTCAAGTACTGTAGCAAACTGCAACTCCAAGAACTTGTTTGGCCTTGAAACAAAGGCCACTCCGACGATGCTTCGACCAGCAAGAAACGCGACTTCTCCATGGAGCAAGCTGCGAAAGTCTTCAAGGATGTGTTCGGCGATGCGTCCGAAGAGTACCGAGACTTGATCGAGCACCTTGCCCGATCGTACCACCATGGCAACCAAGAGCAGTGGAAGCGTCATGCGGAGGCCATCAAAGCTACTCTGGGCCAAAACGTAGGTGGCAACTTCGATGTCAAGACGACTTCTGATGATGGACTGGAGAGACTGGAGTCCACCCGAATAGTGGAAGATGCTCCTCGCCGCAGAGTACCCAATGCTTTTGTACTTGTATAGCTCTTACAAGTACTGTAGGCGCTGGAAAGGAAAATGAAAGCTTAGTTCTTCGAGTGGTCCCCTAGCTCCAAGCAGCAGTACAGATAAGGATGGCAAAGGAACGACAAGAAAGACGGTCACGACGAAGCATACGCACACCTCAGTACACCAGCCGGCCTCTCAGCTGTTCGTGTTGAACTGCATGCTGAAAACAGCTATCAGTCGATTGCAGGCACGCCGCACCTTTGCCCATTCATCAAGCAAATGCAGAATTTGACGCCGGCATGGCCGCCCATTTGGCAGCGCACGAGGCTGCAGCACCTCAGCTATCCTTAGCTGTCCCTAGCTTCACAGTCGAATCCCGTGTGATGCACATGGCAGCTGCTGAGCTGTCAAGAAGCTGAGGTAAAGGCCGCCAACAGAGCTGCCTTGCCTAAGCACAGCGAGTTCTGACAGCTGTGTGCAAAACGACTGGGCATGCAGCCCGTGTAGCCGGTCTAGGACATGGAGCCATGGCAGCCTTGGTGGAGCGAATCGGCACAGAAACGTGCGCACCCGTCGCACCATGTTGCGTTAGTGTTGCGTTGTTGGGCCCAGGCCAGCTGCTGCTCCAGCTGCTGTCAGTCCAGCTGTAGCACCAGCACCAGCAGTGTGGGCGCCTGACCTTACGCGGGCAGCATGTAGAAGGAGTTCCCGTTTTGTGAAGCCAGGGCGCCGACCCCTGTGCGGGCAGAACCTCCAGCAGCACCAGCGTGCCGGACTCAGAGTCGGTCACCTTACCATGGCACGTGCAGCAAGCAACCAAGGCCACCACCCCCGATCAAAGCACCAGTAGCGACACCACCAGTTTCCGCCTCTGCGACCTGACCCGAGCTTTTTGCTCGAAGAGCAGGGCAGGAGATGGTGTTTGTGTATAAAGCGAGTTGTTGATACTTCTGCTTCCAGGTCTACCGCGACGGCTGAGCCTGTGCGCAAACCAAGCTGTAGCGACAGTTTGCTCAGATCCTCTAGGCTCAGAAGTCATGAAGCTGACTCGGTGGTTTGCCATGCGATCCTGTGCAGTTCGTGTGGGTGCTCCAGCAGTCGCTCAAGGTCACCTCTACAATCGCGAAAGTCGTTAGTGTCCGGCGCTCGCTCACTTGCAGCTCGCATCCTGCCGCATCTACGAAGCAAAGCATGCGACCGTTAGGCTGGATGGGGTGACGGCAACGTTGCCGATTTCCTCTTGAACGGTCGCAAGATAGACATCCGAGGGGAGGCATGAGGAAGATGAGGAATGCACAACCAGAGGCTGCAGCTGAGAAGCAAGTGGCGAGGCAGGCCGACGAGGGCTCAATGTGGTGACCATTGACCCAGACACTCAGCAGGCAGGATATGGCAGGAGCCAGGAAAGCCCACAAGAAAAGCCGAAAAAAAATGATAGAAATATAAAATTAACACAGTCTCATTGCCGGAGGTCATGTCTCGAAAGACGTACGACGTTTGGGCTGACCCGCAGACCGAGAACACGCGTCTGGCCATGCGCTCAGCGACTCAGGGAAGGTGAAAGGAACCATCGAGGCGAAAAATAGCTGATTCCGGCTTCAGTGGCGATCTGCTAGGGCGTTTCCGGCACCCACAGCAGTTTAAGCTGAGTAGAGGCCGCCGACATCAACAGCTTGCCTGATGGCCGTGTGATCTTGGTGGCGTGCAAGGAGTTTACTGCCAAATCTGCCAGGCAGTTTCTTCAGGGGCGTTGCATCAATGATATCAATGTAGACGTGAAGGACTGTGCGCCATCTCAAAGAGCCGCAGTGCACATGTAGTGAACCAGAGAATGCCAGAGACATGCCACCACAAACAACAAGCAACGCCAAGCGATCTTTTGCACGACATGCACTACGATGGCCAATACTTTCGCGTTCACACAGAGCTGGAGCGCGGCATGGAGTGACAGACACATCTATCTCTGAGCGATAGCTCATATTAGTGCACAGAATAAGTGCACTTCATGTTCAACGCCTATGCCATCCACAACCCCATTAAGGTGGGAAGGGGCCTTTGGCAGATGGGGCAGCAAGACTTGGCTACCAAGACTCGTGATCAGCAGGTAGAGCCTCAGATTGAGCAGGAATTGCGGTGGCCTGAGCACATGTCAGTGCATCGGCCATCCTGCAAGGAAACATGCCCGTAAACTCCGAGTTTACGTACAATCCTACAACGTGCAGGAACTTCCCGCCGCAAGTGAAAATTCCTGTGCAAAGGCTTAGCTTCTCGGCATTGCGAAGAATGACATGCAGTTGCCAAGATGCACTGAGGCTTAAGACGCACCCGACAGCTGAGGTGATGACAAGTTCTTTGAGGAGGAACTGGATCGGTTTGGGAAGATCCCGGCGCACTTGTCTGATTGGAGAGATGTGCTGCTCTATGCAGGGTGTACAGGGTGCTTCCTCGCGATGTGCGTGAGAGCAAGGTCAAGAAGTTCTTCCTGAATGACAACCTGATGAAGGTGTATGAAAGAGGCTTGTACCAGAGACGCTCCCGAGGACCTTCCCAACAAGTGACGGAGCCTCGGATGCACAGGAGACCACACACCATAAGAGCACTTGGAGCGTGAGTAAATAAAAAGGAGGGGGGGCGACCTCTGTAGAGTGTGTGGATGCACAGGTGCATACGTGCTACATTCGAGCGCAAACAGCGAAGCACTGCACAAGTCACCAATAATTCTGCGTCAGTCATGATTTTTTTTTGAGATGCGAGGTGCTTGCAATATACCTGCGTCGGCATGTCTGGGGACACCGCGTACGCATGCGTATGAAGGGGTGCGCATGGGGTGTGCAAAGAAGCAAAGGAAGCAAAGTGATGCCGACCCAGCGCCTTCACAGTCACAAGCCGAGGTGCCACTGGAGAAGCTCCATGAGGTTTGCTGCAAGCTCCATGGCCAGCCATACATCCCGAGACGCGTTTGAATTACCAGCTGGTTGCCAAGACGTGTGTGTGTGTGGCCCATGGGCATCTTACGGCCTCAGTTCTTATGGGGGCTAAATCCAGTCTTGAATGAAGTTTTTTTGTTTTGCCCACTGACTCTGGGCAACGGCTGACCTGCAGCATAGAAAACCCCCCCCGACCCCCCACATGCATGCATGCAGCTGGGGTTCGGGAACTTGAAAAAGCACATGCCAATCAGTTGGGCAAAATGCATGTTTTCGCAGCTCAAAAAAGGATTTTGGCAGGAAAGTTCGGAGAACTGAGGCTCCCAACCCCCAACCACCATTATCAACTCAGATGCTCTCGCCTCCTCCGCGCAGAGGCAAAGCAAAGGGTTGTGTTGGGAGCCTCAATTATCCCCAATCCCGCCCAGGATTGCGGATAGTTGGGGTTAGGAATTTGGAGCCCCAATTATCAACTTTTTTGTTCACGGTGACCGACTCGATCCCCAAGCCCTTGCGAAAAAGCAGGAGTTGTTTTTTACAAAACAAGTTGAAGCCGCATGGGACAGCTGAGGTTCGGGAAATTAAAGAACAAACCAAAACCCATGCGCGGTGGCCACTGGAGTCCGGGAACTTCAAAATGCATGAAAAAACGCATTTTCTGAGCTCAAGATTTTGGCAGGTAGTTTGAAAATTTGAGCCGGTCGGGATGGCCACGCTTGCTTGACTGCTTGGGCCGCTGAAGCGATTTGTTGCCAAAAGGTTTCGCACTCCAGCTGTAGCTCCTTCTCATTCGAGCTATGAAGTTTTTTTCTAAAGTTGGAGAGTTTGTTATTAGCAGTCAGATAAAGAGAAGTGTTGATTGTTACGAGCACCAGTGATGATGGTATGGCGCGCATGCTTGGGTGCAAGGACAGGTGGTGCCGTGAGAAGCGTTGTTTGTACCTTTTGTTACTGTTCCAGTGATGACGGTACAGCGCATGGGTGTAAGGACAGGTGATGCTAAATGGCTGACCTGGAATCCTCTGACCTGGGCTGATCCCTTCGCACAGCCCACGGCTAGAAAGGCCAACAAGCGGATGTCGTCCCTCGGTCTGCTTGATTGCGCGCTTGTCGGTCAGCTCAAACACAACATTCTGCATGCTAGGTTATTGGGAAATGATCAGGAAGCGCACTCTGAAGCAATGCGAGAGCGGAGGACCAGCTGACACTCAAGCAAAAGGCCATGAGGTGCTGCTGCGAGTGTTAGCATATGTGCAGAATTGCCGACTTGATTGACGAGATGGGCTGCAAAGTGGACCCGGATCAAGTGCCGACTCTTTATTGAACAATATTGGATCAAGGCTTTGTGCATGAATGCAAGAACCGCCTGTCGCACTGGAAACTGCCAATGCCACGATTCAAGGAACATGCGCCGCCAGCCAGAGGCCAGGGGCCCTATGGGCAACGTATGGCAACGTGAACACGAATCATAGCAAGACCGATTTGCGATCGCTTACTCGGATGTCGCAGGTCTACCTGGCGCTGCAATCAGGGATGCCTTCGAAAGTACGGCCTTGTGGTGGCAAGACGCTGGCACTTGCAGTCGCGCGATGGTGCGCAGCTTCAGGTGTTGCGTATGCGACATGTTGCAGCTCCAGGTGCGAGCTGCTCGAACGACTCCACCACCAGCGCCAGCTGCTGGCTGAAAGGAAGGCTGTGAGGGAAAAGGAGGACAAGCAGAAGGCTGCCGAGGCCTTTGACTCTCAAGAAAAACCAAATCAGAAAGCTTGCGGCACGGGCCTTCCCCGCATATGTTAACTTTGCCCAGGCCTCATTTTGCCTATTGAAGCGACTGTGGAGGGGACCCGAAACTTATCAGAAGCCCACGCTGCAGGCAGCTGCAAAGCAGGCAGAAGAGAAGCCGGGCAAAAGCCGCCGTGCGTGGAGTTTATCTGCAATTCGCCGTTTCACGAAAGGACGTCGGGGCCCGAGCCAAGCTCATAACCTTTCAATCCCTGTATTTCTGCGCACGCAACCACGACATGCACGTGTGTAGGGGTGTGACACTGAAGTCCCTGACAATCCAGCGTCTCTCACAGGTCAGCGTGCTCAGGCGTGGATGGCTTAGTGATGGCACAGCAAGGCTTTTCAGCGGTGGGTGGCCCAGTTCGGCCAACACGGCATGCCGTTAGAACGCAGCAGCACAACAACTCCGTCAACAGCTCCTTCGGTGCAATGCGCACCTGTGAACCCGCAAGCTTGTCACGAATACCGAAGTAGCCAGGAACATTTTCAAAGAGGGCATGGTGCGTTCCAACGTGCAGGCATGTCCAGAATTTATTTTATGTGGGGACCGGCTGTCTCAGTTCGAATCTGTGAACAAGTCCAGAGTATGACCAGTCGAAGAAGGCCTTTGGAAGTATCCAAAATGGCCGAAGTATTTGCAGCACAGGCGAGCTGGAATCTGAAGGATTCTTGCCAGCATTGGCTGGAAACGCGGCTTGTGAATTGCCTCTGGCTTCAGGGAGGGACGGCTTGTAACAATTAGGGTTTAGGGTTTACAGGAGCTCTGAAGCAAAAAGGGTTTAGGGAACTCATCGGGTTTCCATCTTGCTTGTTCCCAAGCCATGGGCACACAGTGGGAGCTGTCGATGGGCAGAGCTCATTGACGCAGATTCGGACATCCAGCACGGGCAACGGCATGCAAAACGTTGCAGTTGGTCGGATGCTGCCCTGATGCTGAATGGTTCTTGAGTGTAAGCTGTGCTAAAGGCTGCTGAAGTATTGTCGAAACAGGACTCTGGTATGGAAAACCTGGATGCGCGAGCCATCGCAGCCCTTTGGAGCCCAAGTCTGAGAGTGAGCCTGGTGAATCATGTTTGTGGGCCATTTTGTGCCATTTTGTGCACCTGGATGCACCTGGATCCAGGTGCCGGTGCGACTGTGCCTGGCGGCAAAGAGAGGGAGGGCTATGCTCTGATCGGCATCAAGGGGAGCCGGCCCCTCAGGCCCCTCAAATGCTCCTCAAATGCTCCCAGGCGGATTTTGGACATGTGAGGCTCGGCCATGTCATCCCACATCTTTCCACGTTCTGGCAAGGCGAAGCCCTTGCTGAAGAGCAAGGTGGTCGGGCAGGGGCCTTTGCAAAAGCGCACAAGAGGTGCACTCTGAGCCTAAGCGCGCCGTGCCTGAGCCTAAACTGAGCTCAGGTCGAGATCGAGGGTGAGCTGCCTTTTTTTGTGCCCAGCCCGGTGTTAGGATGTCCTTCCAAGTCAGAACCCGCAAATCACTAAGTTGGGAAACGCCCAGAAGTGCAATGAGGTGCGGCACCCCCCTCCTCTTCCACCGAGCTCGCCATCTCCACCACCAATGCCTGTGCGTGGGCCCCAGGCTTCCCCAGGCTTTCAGGTCAATTTGCTTGCCATGATGCGGTCTATGAGTGTGACTGTGTGTGTGTGTGCGCGTGTGCATGGAGGGCATCTCAGCCGCAGCAGTTTAGTCCTCCAACCTGGGCCGACTCCTCAGCTGAGAGATCAGATGCGAAGGGCAAAAGGGGCACCCCAATACGAGACAACGAGTATTCTGAGACAAGCGTGAGCATCATGCGATATGTCCAGGCCAAGGAACCGGCAGCTCCTAAGCCGCCGAGCACCTTCCCAACGGCTCCTCCCACTGCAGAGCCCTCCGCTTAGTCATTTTAAACATTCGTAACACTGGACGGTTCGAAAGGGAGCACCGCTAGTGCTATGCTACAAGTACCGTTGATGCTTCACAGCACAGCTGGAAGATGCTTCAAGGCCTGCACAGAAGGTGCGTGTGCCGAAGCTGCAGGCTTCGGGGGGGCTAGCGGCACTGTGCGCAGAGTTCGGGGGAAGGGTGTTTGGTGTTTGAGAGCTGCCATACGTTGTGCATCTCTCAAGCTGTAAGTGGCCCTAAGCCTGCTACCGTACATGAAGCTGATTTCCACACTGGCTCCGCGCGGCGTGACTGCCAGGTAGATCCCCAAGGTGGGGTTACATACCAAGACGAAATGGTCGAGCGAGACGGCAAGCCCGAAGAACAGGGCCAAAGTTGGCAGGAGGCCAGTGCCATTTATGATGTTGGTCATGTGCGTAAGCAGCGTCTTTCATGGCGTCTTTGATGGCGGTCCATGGCCCATGGCCTCAGGTCGTGCTCATGCTAGACAAGCTGCAGGCAAAGATCAAGGCACACTTTGCATTGCATTGGCACACGGCACATCCTCAGCAGATCTCACAAGCCGTTCGCAAATCGAGCGCAAAAGTGGTGAGTGGCAGAATCGAAAAGATGCTGTCGGGCTTCCTGTCCCTGACCTGGCAAACTCGTTGAGGCGAAGCGACTTGCGGGTGCTTGACTGCCAGGCACCGCTCGGATAGAATGTTTCCTGCTTGGGGTCGGAGGCACATTTATTGCGCCAATCAATATTCCTGTATGAAACTCTATGACCTTTTTGTCAGGTGAACCTCTTAGATCTATTCGGCGATGGAGACAGAAGTCTGACCTGCCACAAGAGCCTGCAGAAGACGGTTCGCCGATGGCAGCTAACACCAAAGTCCGTGCTTGCTGAAATTGCTGCGTTTTGCACCAGTCTCCCAGGACGAAATGGGCAGGTGTCACGGCGCTTGGTCGTTTGCGCTGTTGCATCATGATCTACTTATTGCTTAAGAACCCCCCCCCCCCCCCCCAAAAAAAAAAAAACATATTCCCTATGTTGCCCTTATAAGGAGCTGTTCTTGGGTTTTTTTTTTTTTTTTTTTTTTTTTTTTTTGGGGGGGGGGGGGGTTAAGCAATTAGTAGTGAAGTGTTTGGCAAAGACTCTCATGCCGCCATCTCAGGGATTGCAAGCTTGCCCTGGACTGCTTTGTTCATCCCCCGCTCCCCTGCTGTAAGCATAGTGGTTCACTCACGCAGACGCACACTTCGCTCGCCGTGCCTAGACGAAGTAACGTCGTTTATCGCTTGTTTTTTCAGCTTTAGAGAAGCTTATGACAGTAAGATTCCCCTCGAACCTCAGACCCACGATCGGGAGCGGTCGGTTCGCAGCCGCGTTGTTTGCCGCACAGGTCCGAACTCATTTCCTGGCCCACATGTCTTCCTGTTTGCTTATCGCTATTGGCGTTTGTTTGTCTATCTTCTTGCTGCCTTCTTTTCCCCTCTCCTTTTCTGCTTCTCTCGGAGACCGCGACGGCATGCTTGATCTCGTACGCGAAGAAAAACGCATGGTACCAGGTCTATGCTTTTTGTTAACGAATCCTTATGAGTTTCGTCATCCTTCAAATCATCTTCTTGTCGAGTCTTGGGAGAAGTGTGTGCTTCAATTTCTGGCTCAAACCTCGAGATCCTCATTGCATGGCCATTCCCAAAAGAGGCAGCGCGACATGGCCCATCAGGGTATTGCTCGTCGTGTGTCCATGTTGGGGGGTTGAAGGTCTTTTTCAGGCGGGAGCTGAAGCCCAACAGCGGCAAGTTCCCGCACAGGCACTCAAGACTACATGCTGTTCCATGGACGCTTCTTATGGCTTCGAATGGAGGCTGAGACCTTCTTACAAGAGCTGGAAATGTGCTTGTTCAGGATGCAATTGACAATGCAGGGTTTCTAGCGACTGCCTGCCAGGTTGTGGGCTTCAGATGACGCTTCACCGGAGTTTGCGGAACCACAGCCGGCCGTGATCCCACAGGCTTCATGTGGGCAAACCTCAGCACACGTCAGACTGGCTTCTGCAGCGCGAAAGGCTTCAAGAGAGGTGCGAGCTGTACCAGCTGCGGTCCACCTGCAGCCAGCCCAGGCCCATGTTCAGTTTGCTGAGTACAATATTATGGGAGAAGTCTTGGAGCCTTCCCAGGCTAGTGACGGCACCACGTGCGACAGTGGGAGAAATGAAATTGGGGAAATGGCAGTGGTACCGGAGACTGTGCCGCGGACAGATGGAGTACTCCTGGAAGCGATGCGACGCTGCTTGATTTCCGATATTACCTCTCCATGTATTGAGAACGTCTTCGAATGTAAGCTGTCGTTCGCAGTTGCGGCCAGTCTGAGTCGCGTTTGCTTTCTCAGGTTTGGAGCGCCAAGCAGCACAACTCGAGTTGGAGCTGATGGCTCTGAAGCGAAACGAGGCGCACACAAGTCTAATTGGAGTTTTTGCTGCTTTTTTGGGGGGCCGCGCCTCTAGGTGATGTGTTTCCAGCTGAGCGACGTGAGTAGCCACGAGCAGGACAGTTGCATGCACCTGAAGCCACATCATGTTAGGCCATTGAGCCCTGATCAAGACATGGGTCCTCTCTACTGAAATTACTGAAACCATGCCAGAAGCACAAGCCAAAGCAGGTTTCCCCCAATTTTCCGACTTCCAGCGCAGCTGCCCGATCTTGAACGATAAAGCATCCCGGGATGAGAGTTGCAGCGATTGTTCAGGCCCCTGCTGCGGTCTATCTTGGCTATTATGACATCAGCAATGGCACGGCGCAGCGTCTGCTTGGGCTTGAGGCCGTCCGTATGTCGCAAAGCGTGCCTGGCCCAGAGCTGGAACAACAACAAGCAAGGCCGTGTGGCACACGGCTGTAATCGTGCATTGGCCTCACATGCGCCGCTGTCTCGGGTCTCGGGATCAGTCGGCGATGGAAGGAGTGAAACGATTCTTGTTGTACGAGTCTCCATTAGTCTGCGAACTCGATGCCACGAACTTCCAAGGCAGCGAACTCTATTTCGATGGCAACGTCAGGGCATCGGATCCTGGGAGCATGCCTCAGCACATCTCAGATCATCTCAGCACCTCAGCCGCAGATGTCGATGGACCGAAGCTGGCGTATGCTGAGGAGCTCTCCCTTCGGCAAGCCTGAGAAGGTGGAGCCCGCATCCTCAGCTTGATCGCGTTCTAAGTTTGCTTGCTGTTGCTGTCGGCGGCGACGGTGGCACAGTGGTGGCGGCGGTGGTGGCAGCGCATGTGGGTTGCTTGCTGCTCCTGTTGCAGCACCCTGCTTTTGCTGCAGGTTTGTTGGGCACACAGCTAGAAGTCCAGAAGAAGTCTTGCAGTGTTTGACCAGGCTTGGCTGCAGCTTACCATGGGTGCATGTCGATTGTTTTCCCATGCTTGTGGCAAGCAAGTATGTCAAGGCCCTTCTTTTTCATCGCATGTCGCGAGGTGCCAAGCAGAGTTTGCCGTGTACAACCTGTGGTGCGATACTCGGGCCGTTTTTCAAGACCTCGTCGCTGCTAATGTACCTACCGCAGCTACTCATCAGGACAATGTTGTATTTAGAACATTGTGCAGGACGCAGAACTGCAACCATTTCTCCAACAAAATGCTCAGCTTCCTTTGCGACCAGCCGCTTGATGCATCATGTGCAGCATTCTCATGCATTTTTGGTTCAAGCGTCGTTGTGGCAAGCAGAAAAGTAAAGTCCGAGCACAGCTCGAGGCAACTTCCGGTGGAGATTCTCGACCAGCCCACTGCAGTCCGGAACCCAGTCCAGAGTCTGGCACGCAGACTCGCCCGAGCACAGGCACACCCACGATATCCCAATGTAGCCGCTTGACACACTGAAGGTCTGGAGAAAAGTCCCGCTGCTACTTCGCCCTCTCCTGCGCTGCCTCACCTGCAGGCGACAGTTTGTGTCGGATTTGCTGCTCACGGACTACTGACGCAAGCATCACGGAGCACACTCATGCTACTCTTCAGTTTTGGCTCACGAGATCTCAAGAGAGTCTTAATTACGAGGGAGGCGGTTGCGCGCAGTCTCCTCGATGCTGGGGCCTTGTTGCATCCGCATATGTTCGGTCGTGAGGGCAGTCGCATGTTTCCTGCAGCAACAGCGCAGAAACTTCGATTGTGCTCTTAGCCAGGTCTGAACATTCCGAGCTCATCCCCTGGCGCGGCGCAGCGGCCTCAGAAGTTGCGTTTCGCTATTGATTTCTGTTTGGTTGTCTACTTGTTGCTTTCTTCTGTGCTTCTGTCCCCGACCGCGACGGCATGCCCGACTACTCTGAAGTCGAGTAGTTGGCGTATAGTTTATCGGAGGGGTTCCCGGTCACCCGTTGAGATGCAACACCACTCACCTTTCAACGGAGCAAGCGCATGTTGAATCTCCCTTCTCTCCTGCTCCTCCACAGTCTCCTCTCTCCCGCCTCCCCCTCCCAGTACTCCCTTCATCCGCCAAGGAAGATGTTGATAACAATGACAACGATGTCGAGCTCTTGGCCTGGCACCCGCCACAGGCCCGAAGCATGAGAAACGACGTGTTGCTGATGTGAAGAATGAGGCTTGTCACAACGCATGGCGCTGCAAACGCAGGACACCGAAACCTCCGACCAACACTTCGTAGAACAGCACATGCAGCTCATGCAGATGATGTCGCCACCCGGCAAGAATCTGCCCCCCCCCCCCCTCCCCCGCCACCTCCCCTCCCCCGCCCCCTCCCCCTCCCCCCCCCCCTCCTCCCCGGTGCAGGGTTTGATGTTTTTTTCAGTGTTTGGGTTTGTGGGGGGGGGGGGGGGGGGGCTGCGGGCGTCTGAGCGTGCCTCTGCCCGGGTAGCGATCCATTGAGCGTTTGAGTCGTTGCTGAGGCATGCGGCCGGCGTGCGCCCCTTCGATCTCAGCGAGTATTCCACAGTGTTGGAGAGCCGTCCTGACAAAGCAGTTTCCTGGCTGTTCACTGGCAAAGGGGCATCTTTTACCTTGTCAAGTCGAACATAACTTGATTCGGTGTGCGGGTTGCGGCTGTGTCGAAATGTTGCCTTAGTGCCTGGAGTTTAGCTCGGGGATTCAAATACCTTAGTCCACCAGATCCATCCGACCCTGAGACTGTCCCGCACCGCAGTCCACAGTGGCAAACGGGTCACACAGGGATCAGGCAGGGGACATGTAGAGGTGCCCGTGCGCGTGCGCGCGCGCGCCCGCGCGCCCCCCCCGTCTGCAGCGGCAAATCGGGCACGCAGGGATCAGGCATACAGTGGCACATGTGTGTGTGTGCACCCTGATTCTAAGCTAATCCCAGTGGGGATTGATGCCAACGAGCGGGTTGCCGCCTGCTGGCATGTCATTGTCAGCGCTGTAGTGTGGCCACAGTGCAAGAAGTGAATGAAAGCGGCTGGTTGATCGAGTTCTCGAGTGAGTGTGCGGCGCGTCTGTGTGAGGGATTGTGAGAGAGTGCCAGGAGTCCAGGAGTGAATTAGTGACCAGGGGAGTATGCACCCAGTAGATCGTGATCGAGCGCAAAACGAACCACTTAAACGCGTTCGCTGACAGGCACATAGCGTCTTCGAAAGCGTTCGGGTGAAACAAGATTCCCAATGAGTCCGCAATTCATAATTTTCTGCATTCCATTGGGCTGCGTTTTCCACACCGGCCCCTTGCACTGGCACAATTCCCAAACCAAACCATTTCAAGTCTGACCAGTATCCAAACCACGCTCAAGGCCGCCGCAATACAGCGCTGTTGGCGCGCTGCGCGTGCGCGCGAGGCCATCCAGTATTTACCTTGGAAGGAAGCTAGCAGAGCTAGGCTTGTGCTTGGTAGGGCAGGACCACTGAGCTATTGATTCTCTGGGGGGGGGGGGGGGGGGGGGTGTTGCTTTTCGTGAATACTGCTAGGTACGGATCCTTGGCTGCCGGTTGTTCGTGGTTCGTGGTTGTTGTGGTGGTCGGATGTTCCACTTTGCTGCTTGTAAGTTTTCTTGCCGGGTTCTCATACTTCTTGCTTTGATTAGCATATTGCCATCATCGGCCCAATTTACGGCTACGGCTGCGGTGCCATTATCAGCTTCATCTACATCTTCAAGGCCCGTGGAAGCATCATGACCATCCTCGTCCTCGTCCTCCCTCCTCATCCTCATCATGCTCAATGTCCGCCTAGTGAGTTTTCATAGCACTATCATTGTTGTCGGCTGGTGTTGCAATATTTGTGGGCATGTGTGGATTTTGGCCAAGTTCACATGTAGCATCACTGCCACCATGAGCATACGTTGCATTTATACCAGCATCATCTAGATTAAAATCCATGTCTTCATGATGTCAGCATCATCTTCGTCTTCATCTTCATCATCTTTATCATCATCATGCGCAAAATCAGCATGTCAATATCATGGATTCCGCATGCCCATGAGCATCAGTGCTGACGGGAATCCGTGAAGATGCATATAGTATGTGAACGATAATAGCAACGACGCTACAGCAATCAAAGGGGCGCGAATTTGCCATATTGGAGATGACATATGGGAAGTACACGTGGGTCATTGATGAGCATCATGGCAGAATTGCCTGCAGAATTCATGCCCACAGCGGTTCATTCCCCAAATCACCATCACCATCACCGTCGTCATTGCCATCGTCGTCACCATCTCATGATCGCAAGCCTGATGCGTGTCATGCTGCTGCGCCTTCACTGTCATCTTTATCCACACCCAGTGGCTAGAACTCAGCCGTATTCAGCGGAAATAGATTCTATCAAGACTTGCACGTATGGGAACTTGATGTTCGACGAGTCTGGAGATGTCGGAGGTCTTCTGTGGAGCTGTGAACGGGGGTCGCGAGTGACTGTTTCAAGAGCACGGATGGTCTCGGAGGGAGCGTGGAATTGGCATGTGGATGTGGGAATGGAGATGAAAAAAGATACGAAATGGAAATGACACGACATTTTGTGTGTTGTTCGTTGTTGTGGCTGGGGTTGTTGTGTTGGTGGTGGTGGTGGTGGTGGTGGACGTGGTGAGTTGGGATTGCTTTCACGCACGCTATCCACTTTCAGCCCAATGCGCCGATGACAGGTCGAAGGTGTGGTCTGGAGTGGGATACAGGGGGTGCGCTGGGAGTTGTGCGCCTGACAGGTCTGGCGCGCATTTTGGTCGATGCGACGGTTTTCAATTTGCTAGAACCTAATACCCTAATATCATACCATGTAGTCACATCAGAATCATATCATGTCATATCGGTGCATGTGAATCGGAAATCCCTAAAGCCTCTACATCCAGGCGAGCACTGCATCAAGGGCTCAA